GTTTTGATATAGAACAAAATAATAATCGCGATAAAATGGGGCGGGTACAATGTTATTCGATTTTACAATAAGTCCCGCCTATTTAGTTTTATAGAAAATACTTATTACGTCAATGATACTTAAGAATAGATAAAGACTAATTACATGTCATCATTTAATATCATTTTAATTAATCATGAAAGTATAAGGGCCGATATACACGGACTACAAATAATACGTATCGATATAGGGACACAAAGACTTGAATAACCATACGCAACACTGCAGTACCATACTCTTGAACTTTGATATTGCTTCAAGAAGTCCGTCTATGTTCACCTTTATTGGTAATTTTTTTTATCAATTGATAAAGATGTTACCAATGGTTACAGTAATAATTTAATAATAAATATATTATCGCTAATTAGGCTAAAATCTATCAAATGAACGTATAGATAACATTCTTAATGTCATATGTTTTGTATGATGGATAGGTTTAATAAAGACAATGTAATAGTCAGTTGCAATCATATACTTCGTGTATCACAGTGTAGTATAACGCAGCAGAACAACTTTGTAAAAAAGAAGTACGTATTTTTTCTTTTTGTGTATTATTAAGTGTAAATGGCCAGAATGAAAACTACAGAATGAAATGCACATTTTAAAACTTTATGTATTTTCGTCTTTAATCTTAGTTATTACTAATATCATAAATGCGAAAATTTAAAGGTATGGATGGATGGATGGATATTTTTTAGAATGTATCTCCAGATCCATTGCATGGATCTCAATGAAATTTGTCATAGATGTAGAACATAGTCTGGAAGAGAACATAGATACTAATTTTTTTTTAATTCTGATGGAGTTCTGAGCTACAGATAGCTATTATAAATGTTCATAATTTACAATTTTTCATTTAAAACGCAGTAGAAATAAACTACAACTACGCTTCAAGTTAAAATAAGCAGCCGATTTAAATGTTCATAATGATGCCATTTTACTAAGTTTTACACACAACATCATTTCCTATATCTAAATGGCTTTTTAATAACGTAGTTTGCAGGACACATTTATCATAATAATTTCATAAATAATTGGAAAAACCACGGAAGATGTATTGTTCAAAACTATCGCAATTCAGGAAGTACAGTTAAAATTTTTATATAAAGGCGAAGATAGCTCGACCACTGCCCATAGACTACCCTAATTGCAGATGCTTTGCCTACCTTTAATCAACGTAGGAGGCGACGCAGAGAAAAAGGATATATCCCCTTAAGCCAGCCCTTCTCTGACCAACACACTTTCACTTCCCGTTCATAAGAAAAGTTGGGAAGACAAGGGGGACTAAAACTAGGACTAAAACTAGGCTTCCGACACTCACTTATCAGTCGAAACTCGAAATTCCTCCCACTTCATGAATGACCGTGGTTGTAATAGGTGAATAAGTTTATTCGTGTTTATCTATCGAATCATTGGAAGGAAATTATATATTATTGTTTCTTTTTTTTTCAAAATAATATGTAGACTTTTAATCAAATTAATGTATTAAAAAAAACATACAGACGAATTGATAACCTCCATCTTTTTGAAGTCGGCTAATAAATACCACCATTGCAAAACAAAATATCTACCAATCGTGTTTATGAAAAATAAGTTTTGATATTGAAAAAATTAATTAATAATTATCATAAAAAGATATTTATTTGAACAAATATGTCTAAATGATTATGCATTGGACAAAATAGATAAATTTATTTGTATATTTTCTATTAAGCATGTTACCACAATCTTGTGTAGATAACGATTATTAATAGTGTTGTTCAGCTACGCTACAAATGTATCGATATCGAATAGTGTCGTAATAATAATATCGATAAAATATATTTCATATTTTATTGAATTCTGATACTTATTTAACGTAAATTTTTCAAAGAGAACAAAGCCTGGGATAAAAGCTATATTAATATTGTAAATGCGAAATTAATTCTGTCTGTCTGTCCTTTCACGCAAAAAACTACTGAATTTAAATGAAATTTAGTACATAAATAGTCTAGATCCCGAGGAAAGAGGGTTCTTTTTACTACAAAATATTAATAGGGGATGGAAGTTTATTTTCGAATATTTAAGGTTTATGTGAATGTTTTGAGTTTAATATGTTTTGTTGTTATGTATTATAAGTGTTACTTAAATAAGTGGCCTAAATAATTATAATGCTGCCCAAAGGAAGTATTTCACGCGGACGAAGTCGCGGGCACGTAAGATATAAAACTTTTATAGTATATAACGAATGCAGTTTGCGTTTTTGGTGCAATTTTTAAAAGTCAAATTCACTTAAACAACTCGATCTTTGCATTCCAAATAAAGATTTGTTATTTTTAAGGAAAAGATCGGATTGATTCTCCAAGAAATCTTACAATAAAAGGACCTCTTTATAATAGTATTTTTGGCTTTATTTCTAAGAATACTGACTTAGTTTATTTAATATGTACCTAACAGGCTACGAATGAATTTGGATTTTACGTTTAGTGTCCCTTTCTACGTAATGTCTAAACGCATGCGAACTGCTGCGCGCAATCGCCATTAAAAAAGGTATTAAGGACTTGTACACACAATATTGGCAAATGTCTTAACTTCAATTTGAAAACCCAAAAAAAAATAACTTATTCTATGTACTGATTCGTTTATTATAATTATAGCTGTCGTGACTCCGTCCGCGTGTTAAAAGGAAGCATAATTAGCCTATGTGTTCTTCCGGACTATGTTTTATGTGTATGCCAAATTTAATCGATATTTATGCAGCCGTTCTGGAGATACCTTCAAACAAACTTCAGTCTATCGAAACATTCGTATTTATAATATTAGTAAGATGGGGAAAAGACAATTATTCTATTTCGTTCATAAAAAACTTTCCTCAATTAATCTGACGATTTAATAACGCTGTCATAAAATAAACAGATGTATAATTAACGTATCTGAGAGTTACCTTATCTTCTTAAACGCAAACAAGAGCTCATTTATTGAAAGCAAACTTAATTTGTTGTTATCGTTTGACCCTCATTCGAGATTGTTATTCATACTTTGCTCTAAAAGTGAATGCATTTTGTTATTCATTTAACCGTACGCCAGCGAACTATTAACATTGTCAACCAAAAAATGTTGATTAAAAACTTTTTTGTAAACGGTCTCTAAAAAGTTTTTATTGCAACTGTCATTCGTTGCTTAATCTGTGCCGTGTTAGTTGACAGTTGGACGTTTCACTTATTGTTAACCAAAAATGTAATATAATATCGTTTTCCGAAAAAACTTTTAATTATTGTGATTGTGTTTGTATTATTACGTGCATTTCAATGCTTAAACTTGTTAATATTGTTATTTTAAAATGTTATAAAAACCTCTTTCCCGTGTACTCTGCTAAGAAGATTTAATTTTTGACATTCGTAGCTTAATCTTTGTTTGCGTATTAGTAACGAACCAGAAATGTTTTTCATAAGGAAATAATTATTCCGCAATTGATTTTTGTTAAACCCAACGCAATGGTTCGGTAGTCTGGCTTTGTTATTACAAGGAGATAGTTGTTAAACATCATTATGTCTCTCGTGAACGTTGGTACTCATGTCGAGATGGCTATCCAGAAGTGTTTGAGAAGAATGGATGGCTACATTATACTAGGTAACTATATCGCAATTATTCTGGCCTTGGTCGCTTGCTGTTGATTTTGACACTTTCCAAATCATTTATTCTTTTTAAGGTAGGTATTTTAATATTTCCTTAACAATCTTATTTATTTAAGAGAATGATTGTTATATTCAAATTGGTTAGATAATTATGTTCTGAATTAAATATGTTCAGTTCACGATAGCTCAGTGGCTCATTCTATTACGATCATATAGGTCATAGATTCGATTTCAATTTTATTGCCAGTTAATTTTATTCAACATTGTTAAGTAAACAATAATTTTATGAGATTTGTGTTGCCTAATGATACACTGTTTCATACACAGTAAAATTAAATCTGACTTCCTTATTCTTACCAATGTTATAAATGCGAATGTATAGATAGATGGATGGATGTTTGAAGTATCCAGAACGGCTGCATGGATCTCGCTGAAAATTGTTATAGATGTAGAATATAGTCTGGAAGAACCAATAGACTACTAAATAGTTTTTTTTTAAATTCTGCACGTGGAATGTGCTTAATGTATTATTGGCGTTTGTTTGAAATATTTTTAAACATACTTTTGACCTACGGCTGCCATACACGACTACAGACTCGCTGTGGTAACTGCTGATGGCCCTACGTTAACAGTTTAAGGCTGTGACTACCGATATTTTGAGCCAGTGAGATAATTTCAGCTCAAATTCTACGTTAAAAAGTATTTATTGTTATTGTAACAGATCTATACTTTGCCCTTGTACGATAATGTGGTGTTAGACTCGTACGCGACAATCTCTGGGTCATGTTTGTGACCAACTTGCAGTGATATCTATCACGTGGCACGTGTCCGACCTAGGTAAAAGTTATTTAAAATAGTTTATTGACCCAATTGATAAAGATTTTTATAATAAACTAATTAAATGAAAACAAGTGAATGCACTTCGAAAAGAATGGAATAACTTTAAATTACACACAACACTATTAGGCTATATATCATTAGATTTTTATTATCATCATAAAATATCAAAATGCACTCGAGCGCCATGCAAGTATGAACTTTAGATATAATTTTTTAAAGTGTCCTCAACTTTGATTAGGTCACAGCTTGCTGACAAAGATTAAAAAAATGAGGACATATATTAATATGATCTGATCTAAAATATATTTGAAAAGACTATGTTATATGATGCGTCGGTGGCTCAGGGGTTACACTTGACTTGTAATCTGCAGGTCCTGGGTTCGAATCCCGCCATGTACCAATGTGTTATTCGATTGACATATGTACATTTATCCGACGTTCTTACGATGAAGGAAAACATCATGATGCAACTTGCACATATCTGCGAAGAAATTCAAAGATATGTGTGAAGTCAACCCGCACTTGGCCAGCGTGGTTGACTATGGCTTAGTCACTCCTAACTAGGGAAGGCTCCGAGCCCCTCGTTGGGGTCGTATAGTGAGCTGATGATGTTATACAGACATTAGTGGCGATAATAATTTACCAAACGTGTTTCGTATTTTATTTTTGCATTTGCCCGATAATATCTTTTTTAATTATGACTGATATGGAATACTAATAATCCGTTGTTACGTATTAAGATTTCATATATTGATTAAAACAATCTCCTTTGCTTGTTTAGCCTTTATTACGCCTTTGATTATTTATTTAAATAACATAGTAAAAGTGAAACTTTAACGGACAAGTGGCAAAACGAATCGCACAATTGTTAATGTACTTGTAAAATTGAAAAACCTACCCGTAAAATTACAAGTTAAATTTTTGGTGCGCATTACATCACAGCCTAAAGTAATGAGCCTATAGGCTTTAAAATTTTGTTCTAATATTTCTGGTATGTACGCACAATACCCGCGTTGGAATTGAGCCAGCTGGGGCGATCGCCCAGGGCGTGTGATGACCCTTGAGATATCTTATCTTATATGATTTCCCCTAACACTAGAAAAGAAAGGGGCGTCGCAAAAATCTCGCCTTGGCTCCGAAAAAGCTAAAACTATCTCTTTGTACTCAAGTACAAAAAGGTATTAAAGTTCATTATAAGAATACGTGTTCTCTCCAACAGATGAGATTGGCTGTCCCGACACCGCTTTCAACATGGCGTCCATAAATCCCAACGGTGATCTAAAGAGTCCGGGAGATCCAGAGAAGAAGATTCCAGAGACGGATGCCGAAAAACAGCCATTATCAGGGGTAAGTTTATAAACCTATGACCAGTAGCACACATCTGCGGAACAAAACGAAAAAAGTCACGGGTTCTATCGTAAGTTTCTGAGACTAAAATCCCTGTTTAAAAATTAAGGTTATGTCTATTTTGTCAAAGATAAAAGGTATGTTTTATACAGAGATTTTCGTCGCAGAAACCCACGGTGAATCCTGCCATTAGACTGTTGTGAACCAACCAAAAATAACCCAAAATAAGTTTATAACAATTGTTTTCTTGAATTGTAATTCTTATTCTGAAATTAACAATAATTTGCTAATATGTAGTCGCTTTACTTAAAAAAAAATCTGTCTGTCCGTAAGTCCACGTTTGTTCCGGATAAGCTTAGAAAAATCTGGATCGATTTTGGCGGGACTTTGAAGGAAAACATCGTGATGCAACCTGCACATATCTGAGAAGAAATTCAAAGATATGTGTAAGTCAAACAACTCGCACCTGGCCAGCGTGGTTGACTATGGCCTAATCACTCTTAACTTAGGGTAGGCTCCGAGCCCCACGGTGGGGACGTATAGTGAGCAGATGATGCCTGTATAATAATTGTATGTCCAGAATTGTACCTATGTTAGTAATAAACGATTAAAAACATTAAAGTATACAATAACAAAATCAAATATACAATATAAAATCTATTTCAAGTGTAATTAATTAAGATTAAATGAGATAATATTATGATAAACATACAATCATTAAAATATTTTTTCTAATCAGTAATGATGGGCATTAATGATTATATGTCATATCTACGTATATCATATTTACTACGATACTAATATTATAAATGCGAATGTTTGGATGTATGCTTGGAAGTGGGTTAGAAGTTATGTACAAAACGGCTGCCTAGATCTTGATGAAATTTGACATAGATATAGAACATAGTCTGAAGGACAGATAGGTTACTAATTAAGTTTTATTTAATTCAGCGTGGACAGTCTAGGGTGATAACTAGTCGCTCATGAAAAAACAAAATAAGATTTGATGCTATCATTGATTGTGTTTGATGTTTCCTGCTTTTGAAAAACGAAAACATCCTGTATGATAAAGAATATTTAAAAAAAAATAGAAATAATGCAGTCAAGTTCAAAATTACACAAAGCTCTATCGAAATGAGTCATTAACAACGAAAAATTAGTTTTTGTCGTCCAAAAGTCCATTGGCCCCTGCCGGACGCACCACAGGCACGACCCGCAACGGATTTTAGTTTGCTTCGTATGATTTTACATAGCGTTGCATCCATCATCCGGGCCAACTGCATCCAAAGACAAAGCGAATGCGTTTAATCCGTGCGTGCGGTACGTCCGGCGTCAATGGACGCGTTCCTATAACTAACAAACGCTGATATGTGGACAGAAAGACAAAAATTAAAAATATGTATATTGGATATTACAAACAGACTTTCCTATTTAATTTATATGTATAGATTATAGATAAATATTATTTTATTACTAGCTGTCGCCCGCGACTCTGTCCGCGCGGGATTAAAAATAGATGTTGGCCGATTCTCAGACCTACTCAACATGCTTACAAAATTTCATAAGAATCGGTCAAGCCGTTTCGGAGGAGTATGGGAACGAAAATTGTGACACTAGAATTTTATATATAAGATAGTACTTAACCAAGAATGGTTTATGATACGTTCTATTCATGGTTTTTCCTCAAAAGAATACGTGACATCCTCTCAGACTATTAACTTACAATAACTATTTCTTGACTAAACATATCTTGTTTTCCATGATAATTAACACATCAATGTTTTTGCGTCTTAACATAATGTTTATATATTGTTTAAAGTAAATGCATCTATACAAATATTATAAAGAGGAAAGATTTTATTGTTTGGTTTTGCGTTGGATAAGCTCAGAAACTAATGAACTGTTTTGAATACATTTTTGACTGTTGGGAAGCTACACTAAACCCGGGTGGCATAGGCTATTCTTATTACTAGATTGTTAATATTCCTCGAATTTAAATTATGAATCGTATTTAGGACCATATCCGATGTGTCTATTGTCGATAAACCTGTTTAACAATAACAGCGCCATCTCTCTTATTATCTTGGAAATAGAGATAATCAAAAATAAGGAAATCTTGCACTTCGAATTGGATTTGAAAAGTGCTCTTTCCGCACGCTACATTGCATTAACCAAGTAGAGAAATTCTTTGAGTAAAAGTTCGTGAGAGTTTTGTTGTGAATAGAAGTGTCGTGATATGTTTGACATCGAAACAGTATTAATTGTTGGTTTCTGCGACTAATACATCTGTATAAAACATCGTCATTACCGTTTTTGACAAAACAGCGATAAAAATGTTTTATATGGAGATTTTGGTCCCAGAAACCCACGATAAATGTTGTTTAGACAGAACTAGAATTTGTTCACCGTCCACTTGCAATTTTCAAGCAAAAACATTTTCTTTTTAATCTGTAAACCCACTCGCCCCTATGTTCTATTTTTAAATGGTGCGCATAACTTTATCTTTTTATTTCTTTCTAATCTGTAGTCTTTTAAATAATCTAACCCTTTCTTTTGTCTATTACCAATCCCTTTGTAGATGTTCTTGTCTTTCTAATTCTTCTTTTATTTGCAGAAGAAAGAAGAAAGATGGTGGACGACACTGATGCAAGTAGCTGTACCTTTTTTCATCGCAGGCTGTGGTACTATTGGCGCTGGATTAGTTCTCGGGAGTGTAAGGGTAGGTACAGTCGAAGAATTTAATTCGCTTCCCAATTATTTAGTACATATTGATTGAATGTAGTACAGCAAACTTGTACCATAGGAGCTATAATTTAACACGTATGTATATTGCTGTGACAAGTTTTCGACATAATTGCTTTTTGACACTAGTGACATTTTAAAGAGATGGGTAGGATATTAATGTCCTTGATCGATTGTAACAATTTTTGTTCTAATCCGATTTAGTTTATGATAAATATCCATCCAAACATTGGCATTTATAATATTAGTAAGATTATTTGTAGAGGTAGGACAAGAAAGAAATGTATGGATTATGTGAAAGATGAGATGACGGAAGATAGATCGATAGAGGACAAAAACTGTTACGCAGACCCTACCTGAATGGCACAAGGACAGGAAGATGATGATGTCTTATTTATGATTTGTATAGATTAATTGTGCAATTTATTTGATTTGATGAAAGCGCCATCTATTGGCGAAAAGGGTAAACTAGACAGTGCATTGTTTTTCAACTTATCAATATAATTTATTTAATCAGTTTTTAATTAATATTGAACGTTAATATCTTCGAGAAATGCTAGTCATTATATTACACGATTGTAATTAAGATAACAATATTCTATAGAAATATTTTATTCCATACTAATACGATAAAATACAAAACTTTGGATAGATGAATGTTTGTGATCGCGTAACTCCAGAACGGCTGTACAGATCTGGTTGAAATTTGAAACAAGCATAGATTACAACCTGGAATAGATCATAGAATACTAAGTTTTTTTTTTAATTCAGCTCGTCAACAGCTCGTTTATATAGCAATCTTTGTTATCTTTGTTCATTTTTTAATCTATATTTTGTCTTTGTTTCAGAACTGGGAGGTTTTCCAAAATGTATCAGCGATCTTTGTATTAGTGCCGTCTCTCTCTGGATTAAAAGGTATATTGATTGATACATCCATTTAAAATTTCATCTCTCTCATTTCCTTTTAAAAATATGAGACAGCAATACGAAACTGGAATAATGTTATTTATATTCTAAAGAAGAGAAGAGAAGATTCTAAGTATGTAACTAATAAACTCAAAAACTACTGGACCGACTACAAAACTACTTTTGCCATTAAAAAGGTACATTATCACTGAGTAACATAGTCTATATTTTTAATAAGATATATATAAAATAAACGTCTACCCGTCTAAAGAAAGCAACTAGTTGTTTAAATTTTAGATTCTACCAAATTTGTTGTGAGAGTTTTACTAAAGCTAGTGTTGGGTTAATACACTGGCACATTTTCGGCTTTTATTCCTAATAATACGTTACGCTAAATCAATCTAAAAACAATTGTCATAAACAACAATGTTTTTACCGTAGTATTACGCTGAATTGTCAATTGTATTTCTACATATAGCTATCCCTTTCATTCTCTTACATACAATAGAGACAACAATATATTTTAAAACATGTCTCAGTGGAGTGTAATTACGATATATTGAGTATATGACATTGTGGGTACTCATAAAATTATACACGGTACGTAATCGAGTCTTACGAACATCATGTATGTAATTTGTAGACAGACAATTGCCTTGCATTGTTTGTGATGTAAGTAAAATCTACTAAGAATTCAATAAAACATTCTAGAGTCTTGTATAAATTACGGAGAAGTTGTTTTGTGAGTTTTCACTGCTAAATGTTACAAAAACGGTGAAGGGAGACATCTAGATAGAGTACTATCATGGGGAAACATATATTCTGAAAAAGTCGTGTTAGTTACACTATTTATAACTCAAGAACGGCTTTACCGATATGGCTGCAAATTGGTGAGGAGGTAGATTAGAGCCAGGAGACGGACATAGGATATTATTTATTCATTTTTTTTCCAAATTTATGTCTTGAAGAGCTGCTTTTTATTTAACTTACTAATAATATAAATGCGAATGTTTAGATGGATGTGATGTGGATGGATGGGCTACACTAATTAAGTTTTTTTATATATTCACCCGGATGGAGTCGCGGGCGACAGCTAGTCAATAAATAAAACAAAGCACTCAAGTGTTTCTTAAGATATTGTACAATAACAATGTTATCTTTTAATGTTATTTATGTGATATTGTAAAGTTTGCAAAATAACACTTCATATAATGAAAGTTAGTAACTGTCTTTGTTTATAAAATTTCTGATAGATTTTAACAGTGGTAAAGCCCGCTTTAACATCTTCGCGCGAATTGGTCCAGCTCGCCCTGTGAAATACCACGACCACACAGAAGACAGGCGTGAAGTGGAAGCAATTCCGCGTTTCGTCTGATGAGTGTGCGTCCCGGAGGCCTCATTTAGTCTTCTTTCCCTTCCCACCCTTTTGTTATAGGGAAAAGATAGGAAGTGGAAGTGGACTTTCCGGATGAGAGGATGCATAGGAAGGAAAAATATTTTCTTTCTGAGCATTCTGTCCTCCGGCGATTAAAAGTAGGCAACGCATATGCAATTGCGTATGTCTATGGGCAGCGGTTGTTTCGCTATTCCAGCGATTTCAGGTGGCCGTTCGCTCGTTTGCCACTTTATGATCTAAAAAAACCTAATATAATTTTTACCTAATCAACTTTTAAAGACTTTTCCTTTGATTCGCATTTATAATATTAGTAAGATTAAAAATATCACGTATTATAATAATATATGATAACGGTTGACGTCTAGTAATATTACAAACGTACGATGTTTACAGTTTGACGGTGATATGTAAATGAATCGTTTCAAAACGACATCGCAATATATTAAATACACGAGTCGTGTGAAAGTAAATAATTAATATTACGATAACGATGATTTATCTTTATATTTTGATCCTTGTTTTCCGGTTTCTATTTCTGTTTATATGACTCGCATAATTATAATTATTTTTATCATTTAATTCTATTGGTAATAAAATCAATTGATGTACGTAGCCGGACATAGATATGTAGGCATTTTGATTGTGGGTCCGGCCTAAATAAACGGTGTTAATGCTGCTTGTTAGGCTTTTTATATTTCGCAAACGAGAGTGAATTGAATACGTTCATTGGTTCTCGCTGTACGTACCGCACGCACGGATTAAACGGATTTGCTTTGTCTTGTAACGCAGCGCTATGTAAAATCATGCAGCAAACTTAAATCCGTTGCGGGACGTCCGTGCGTTACGTTTGGCGTTAATTGAATGCGTACGTTACATATTACAATCAAACTTTCATCCATTACCGTCAAACATACATACTCTTCTGTTATGAATATAATAAAGAACACTAAACTAAACAACAATATAAACGTGGGTTATTAACCTTGGGTTTATCAACAATTTCCTGCTTACTCGACAGTTTTTTAAATATATATTAAATAATATTCATATTATATCGATGATTTATCGGCAACTTGTATCCAGGAAAGGTGTCATAATTTATTTTCTAATACCATTTCGATAACACTAAGCTCCCAGACGACGTAATCACAAAATCTGTCTACGGATTAAACGATTTCATTAATAAAAAACAAGTACAAAGGTACCATAGCACGAGAATCAATAAAAAAGTAATAAAAACGTACATTATGACTTGTTATTAAATTTATCTATTAATAGGCTAAGGTACGGTCCATAAACATTCGATTAACCGATGCGTGTGCTGTTGTCATGGTCTGTTCAGGGTTAGAAAACAAGCGGTCGCCCGCGACTTCGTCAGCGCGGAGTTGAAAAAAATAGCTTATGTTACTCCCGCACACATAAGCTATATTCCATTAAAATCTCGTCAAAATCGGTCCAACAGTTTCGGAGATTACCCGGAACAAGCGCGAATTTGCGGTCAAAAATTTACAAATTTGTTGCTCGTTGTTAGCAACGCACATTATGCTCGCGAAATATTACATGCAAATTTTAAAAGTAATACCCTATCGTAACTTCCTTTGTAAAAACAACTGTATATTGTTTTTTACAAGTGTACCGATAGTGGAAACTCACAGTATGTTTGTCGTACTTTTTCTAGGAAAAAAACATATTTAATTTTTCATTGTCTTCAGGTAATTTGGACATGTGCCTCGCGTCGCGACTATCAACGCAAGCTAACCTTGGTAACATGGAAACGCCAAGAGAAGTAATATCCATGGTCGTTGGAAACATATCATTAGTACAGGTAAATACATAGAAAATAACGCTTGAGTTCTCAAGTCAGGGAAGTAGCTATTCTGCCAAAATCAACAAACTTTCATGACTATATCAAAATCTACGAATTGTTATCGAGTCTGGGAGATACATCTATGTACTCTGATATAATTCAAATTCAGGAAAATCTGTACATCATCAGCTCGCTATACTTTTTCAATGATGGGTCGGAGCCTACCCTAAGTTAGAAGGGACTAGGCCATAGTCAACCACGCTGGTCAAGTGCGGGTTGGTTGACTTCACACAAATTTATAATATGAATTCACTGCAGATATGTACAGAGTGCAACACGATGTTTTCATTCGCCGTAAAAATGTCGGATACATATTAGGTAGTCGAAAATCTAAAAACAATAGTACATGGCGGGATTAGAACCCAGGACCTGCAGTTTACAAGTCAAGGGCTTAAATCCTGAGCCACCGATATTCTGTACATCTGTACACGGCCAGCGTCGTTTTAGAGACATTTCTGTGTGTCGGAACATTGCAAAATTTTCTTTATTTTTGTAGGTGCAGGCAATAGTAGCTGCTACGGTTGTCTCGATGTTCGCTATAGTTGTCAACTCAATCACTGACCGCGCTTTCAACGGCAGTTTTGTGTTACTTCTCATCGCATCAGCTGTCTTTACTGCCACAACAACGTGCTTCGTATTAGGTTTGTGTCTCTGTTTTTGATGATTATCACTTGATGCTAAAGGAATCACATTTGCAACAGGGCCTGATTTAGCATTTCCGGCTCCTGGGGTGACATTTTTGCAGCGCCCATTTTTTTGATGTCGGGCGAAATCTTCCAAAGATCTTATGCCATAGGCGCCCCCTTTATATCCAACTCTGGCACCTGCACCCTAAGGCCCGCGCCCTAGGAGGTTGCCTTACCTCGCCCTGCCCAAATTTATTTGCTTTCCTTTCTTAAAGTATAGCAATGATTTAAGCCTAAATTCCTCAAAAAAAGATTTTCTTTTGCAGATTTCGTGATGGTGTTAGTAATCTTTGGGTCGCAAAAGTTTAAAGTGAATCCAGACAATGTGGCAACTCCGTTGGCTGCTTCAATTGGCGATATCGTGTCTAACTCTGTACTTGCTGTCACCGCGCAGTACATGTATGATCAGATAAGTAAGTCGAGGTTTTTGTATTTTATAGTTGAATGTCTTTACAGTAGTCCACTGCTTGCATAAATTTTGTTGTCTCTGTTTTAATAAAGGGAATGTAAGGAATAGCAATATGTATTGATAGAAGTGTGAAATTTGGCGATATGTTTTGGCTCCTTTCGAAAGGAAGTCGTAAAAGTTAAATGATTGGTAGAAAGTAGTCTATGGTAGAGAATATAATATGCAGATTCAACAGTCTTTAATATCTGTCAACCAGGGGCCTTGATGACTGAAAAAAAAAAGTTTTTATACATTCAAGTTTGTCTGATAATGAGGGTCGTAAACCTTCTTATCTTTAGCGTTTCCACGTCATGTTTTTAAATGATCTGGGCACAGCAGAAAACTTCTCTATGATTTTTCTATCTTAGATTAGACAACGTAGGTTTACATATCATTTAATGTTTTTTGTTCGTTCGTTTGTTTACAGAAATATCACTATGGCAACCGATAGCTCTGATGTGTGTATACTACAGCCTGCTGCCTCTGTGGGTCTTCATTGTTTGGAGGAACAAGTACACCAAGAAAGTGCTGATGACTGGATGGACCCCTGTTATTTCTGCTCTCTTCATTAGCGGGTAAGTGAAGTGCCAAAATTATCTGACCCGTTCTGCAAAAGAAACTAAATCCAAAGGCTGATAGACGCCAGCCAGTAAATTTGTTATACTATGAAGGTTTTACTATAGCGTAACTTTAACTAGAGCATCGGAGCCTCAATACTTAAGCATTTGATTTGTAATCTAGAGGTACTAGGTTCAAATCCCGCCATGTACCAATGTGTTTTTCGATTCTCGATTTACATATATACCTTTATCCGACGTTATTAGGATGAAGGAATACATAGTGATGCAACCTGCATATATCAGCCAAAAGAAGTTCAAATATTTGAGTGACTTTCTGGGAGAAAAAGTTGGCGACGAGGTTCGACACCCATTAGGTTTCGTCTCTCGTAAGGGCGAAAAGTGGATTGCGGTGGTTCGTTTGGCCACGCCAAATGGAAGTCCGTAGTCTGCCTATCCCTCTGGGATTCAGGCGTTGTGTATAGACGTTTAACACTTTTTTCTGATTGAACTATCCGCTTAACAACGACCCTTCTTCCAGGTTAGATATAGGCCGACAAGGATCTTATGGCAGTTTTTTGATATTAAAAGTTTATGACTTCCACTTAAACACTAACAAATAATGATTAGTAACGATTGTATATTATTAGTTTATGGATACGATAAGATAATGTAATATTTATCAAGCCTAGATAGACTAATTGTATTTTCAGTTAATATTTGTGATCGAAACAAAATAAGTGGGTTGCGATACAAATATCAAGAAAGTAATAAAATATTTTGAAGATATTGATCGTAAAACGCTTCGATTTGTGATTACCGTAAATATTTTTATGTCGAGTAGACAATAAATAATTTTCACATTTAGTGTCATCATCATCAGCTCACTATACATCCCCACTGAGGGACTCGGAGCCTACCCTAAGTTAAGGGTGATTAGGACATAGTCAACCACGCTGACCAAGTGCGGGTTGGTTGACTTCACACATATCTTTGAATTTCTTCTCAGATATGTGCAGGTTACATCACGACATTTACCTTTACCGTAAGAATATCGGATAAATGTACATATGTAAATCGGAAATGGAAAAACACATTGGTACATGTCGGGATTCGAACCCAGGAGCTGCAGATTGCAAGTCAAGTGCTTGACCCCTGAGCCACCGACGCTCCTCTAGTGTAGAAGTTTTAAAATAACTTGGCGGCTTTGAACATCATAAATGGATGCAAGGGAAGGGACACTGTCCAGTGCACAGATGACCTTGAACCGCTTATTAGATTGAAAAAGACAAGGCACCATGGGTGGGTCAAAACGTCAAGCTGACCCCTGCCCCACTAGAATATTTAAAAATGTTATATAGCTATTAAAAATTACTTCGAGTAAGATCATTTTACGTTAGCTACCCCCTAGACCTAGCTTTAATCAACGGCTGGCGACGCCACTTAGGCTCAGAACGACGATGACATACACAAGTAATGCACTTTGTCCCATTAAAAACCTTTCGACTTTGATCATTATGGAATTCAACTTAGCCATTGACGTCATTATACTGTACTATACAATTATTTATTATAATGAAATGACGTCATGAGATTTAATAATACAGTTGATTCAATAATTTCTAGAAACCGTAACAAATCAAAGAAACAATTATCTTTCCGCGTGTTTCACGTTTGTATAGTCAGGCGAATTTAAATGGTCCGATAAGAAGCGCTATAGTCGTGGTCTGTCAGACAAAATACAAAAACTACTCGACAGAAAATGGCACATAACAAAACATGGCAAGACACCTACAATACCGAAGAGTTTTATGGCATTTTTTTGACATTATATAAAACTAGCCCTAAGCTAGAGCTTAGGGTTAGAGACTGGATCGACGGAACTGATAATAACTTTCGATAAGTCATGTGATTGTCGCGCGTCAGTTCCATTAAATTTAGTAGTTCGCTACAGAATCGCTTCAAAGCGAATGCATTTTGTGTAACACCTCGGGTCAGATAAGTCTGTCGGTCTATATCTTTTTAATGTCTTACTATAGCTGGCATAGAGTAAACAACGTCAGAGTTAACACGTGAACAAACATACATTCACAACGACATTGAGTCTTTAGAGACATTCATATCAGTCACAAATGAGTTTTCTTGGCGTCCGATGTTTATTAATTTTTCAGCATAGTTGTCACATGAACAAGATTCTTTATTTGGTTTTACACGTGATTTTCTCTTCGATGGATATTTTTGTAATTTGATCCTGCGTAGACTAGAGCTCGCGAGCGACTTTGTCCACGCAGAATTAAAAAAACAACGTTAAATATGCTCATGCGCATCAGCTACCCGTCCAAGTCCCGTTAAAATTGGCCCAGGCGTTACGAAGATTACCCGGAACAAATGCAGCCTTGCGGACATACATACAAACAGGCAGACAATATTATAAAATCTTAAATCAGTCTAACCTACTGTCCAAAAATGTTTCTATCAGGATTTTTCATCATTACTTAATTTTTCTGACGGACAACATATACTCCATTTTTTATTCGAAAAATAAAAGAATATCTCGTAATAAAATGAAACATTCTCTTTGCAGTATCGGTGGTATAGTTCTGGATCAAGCAGTCGAAAAGTACCAAGGCTACGAAGTGTTCCAACCAATCGTGAATGGAATCGGAGGTAACCTGGTCTGCGTGCAATCCTCGCGGCTGACAACGCACCTCCATCAGACGGCCATCCTCGGCATCCTGCCTGAGGACACGAGGATAGTTGAATGGCCCTGGAAGACACTGTTCTTTGGAAGTGAGTATACATAAAGTGGTAAACTAGCTAGTTAAATATGCATTTAAAATTTCATAAAAATCGGTCAAGCCGTTTTGAAGGAGTATGGTAATTAACATTGTGACACGAGAATCTTATAAGTAAGGTATTGATTCGTCTAGTTTAATATGATTTCGTAAGTGACGACTTTTTCCTACTAGGCTATTAGAAAGAATTCCTCTTAAGTATTGACGATGACTTACAACTGCACTCAAAGTTAGTTAAATTGTTACTTAATAGTTCCTTAAAGTAGATTTCACACAAAGGCAACTTTACGGCTGTACTATACGTAGGAACCAAAACAGCTAAACTTTTTGGGTCTTTAATCTGATAAATCTCTTTGTATTACAGCTGCTGCGGCTAAAGTGGCTCGAATGCTGCTGGTGTTGGCTCTCTGCGGCCAAGTGGTGTTCATGATAGTTGCTGATTTCATCTACCAAGGCGTCGTCAGTATACAGTTCGCGTTTGGCTTGACATATCTCTTATGTTCAATGCTTCAGGTATGTATTGTCAAGTTTATTAATTGTACTAGCAGTCGCCCGCGACTCCGTCCGCGCGGAATTAAAAAAAATATTAGTAGCCAATGTCTTCTTCCAGACTATGTTCTACATGTATACCAAATTTTATCGAGATGCGTTCGGCCATTCTGGAGATACCTTGAAACAAACATCATTTCATCCGTCTAAATATTCTCATTTATAATATTAGTAAGATTAAGTGAAAAGAAAGTAAGACTAGTCTATAGATTGCATTGTAATGTTTCAAATATAAAAGTTCGTAAATAGCTGAAATTAAGGAATACCTTAAATGAACGCGAGTGTATTATTAGAAACTAAAAAAAACGAATAAATACAGACACATGGGGAGAAAAACTAAAACCTCAACGTAGGTGGCGCTAGCGTCAAATCTGGGCTGTCATCTGTCACCTGTCAAATTATTTGTACGTCAAACTAGCGATTTAAAAAATGCATTCCCCTTTTCATCTTTTGTTACAGACAATAAAAATATGACTTTTTTATTTTTTTTTAAATTGATAGAATGCAGTATATGGAGTACTTTGTATATAAAAAAATCTTGTTTTATAAAAGGCATTTTTTCTAGGTATTTAGAAAATTCTTCTTGTTTCAGTTTTGTAGTATGTAACCAAATGTGTTTCTCAAAGATTTTTGTATCTTAATTTTTAAACTTTTTTTTTGTTTTTTTTTTTAGGTGATGGTGCTTTTGTACATGGCGTACATGCTAATACATTTCATGTGGAAGAGGAAGAAGGATCCAGATAATGCAGCTATTCCATACTTAACCGCGCTCGGTGACCTCTTAGGGTCAGTGTTCCTAGGTCTTGCGTTCGTTATCCTGTCTATATTTGGTTTACAATACGGCAATAATGTACCTGGTACTTAAATCCTCACAAAAAATTAAAAAAAAACATGAGATTTTTTCTTAAAGTATTATATTTTAATGCTTCTATTACGCGTGATAGAATATTGGATTATACCAAAGGATAAATGATTTCAACTTTTTTTTTTAATATTTAAGACTAATAAAGAAAAAATTAGTTTGACTTTTTAAATCAATTATAATGTTACCCTTACAGTATTGAGTAGTTTTACAATTTTTTTTTAATTGTTACGAATTCAGTGCCAATCTGAAAATTAAATTGGAATTTGATGTTACTCCGATACATTCCTAGTTTTTATCGCCTTGTATAAATTAATATTGGGAAGGGATTAGCGGCCTCCTTATTTATGGATGCAGTTCAAACTGTGATATGAATCCCAAATAAAAATGTGTGATTTAAATTATTCAAACTTTCGTGAGACATTATACTAAACTGATATAAACACGGCTAAATGAAGCATAATAATAATACCAGTACCACTCATCCTGATAAAGGATGAGTGGTACTGGTATTATTTCGCGGACGCGGCCCGTCGCTTACTCCTGATGAAGGGCCCCCGATGGGCTCGAAACTAGTCGGTGCCGCCACCGGACGAATATACGTGAGTGTTTAGCCGTGTTTATATATCAGTTTAATGTGTGATTTAATAAAAATTACTCTTACCTTTGACATTGTATGTCTTTCGTAGACAATAAATGATATTAAAAAATGACTCTCTGGTTTTTTGGAATATTTTTTTTTGCGGTGACTTAGCATGTTACAGGAATACGTTAGATTTTTTTTTAGAAGCAAGAAATTTCGTTCCACGCATTCTGACTGAAAAAAATTACGTCGAGATAGTGATGTCCTGTCAGCACGTGACTTCATATCGATATTTGCTAATCGCCAATTATTGTAGCATTTATAGAAAATCATGTAAATAATTTGTATTTATATTTTTATTATTAAAATAATATCACAGTAATTGAGGCGATATTTTAATTTGTAAATGTGATAGGAAAATTAAAAACATCATAATATATCGTTTTCAAAATCGATAAATTTAATATTTTAATAAAATAATCGATAATTCTAAATAACACCAATAACTAAGGAAATATATCGCAAGATGGCCGACACTATTTGCATTCTACTAAAAAGTACTATAACCTCAAACATACAAACGTTCTTCTCATATGATCTTGTAATTTAAAATACCACATATCTTTCCCATTAATAATTGTATAACAATATTCAAACTTTATGTTGGTTTGTGGTCAACATGTCGATGGGTAGATAGACTCGCTGCAGGGAGAATGGAAGACTCGCTCCCATATTTACGTTACATCAATACTTGAAAATGCTTTCTGTATAGTTTCCGAAATTGCGAGCTACCATAAAGTTTGGATGACACTATGTTATGCGTTATTATTTTTCTTATCCCGATTTTGACTACGATAAATTATTTTAAAAGATTTCTTAGTTTTATATTTTTAGTTTAAATCTTAGTTTTAGCAATTAGTTTTAGCTACGAGTACAATAAAAGCAATTTAGTATTAAGAGGCCTAAAATAATTTATTGTATTTAGTTTATAATAAAAGATTAAAAAATGTAGCTAATTTAGTGGAATGAATCAGATTTGAATGTAATAAAATTGTGTTTTTACTGTTTTAAAGATATGAAATAAAAATCAAATCTTTTTTTTTTATTTTGTTATAATTTATACAAATAAATAAAATAAATTGATAGAAAACATAAATAACGAAATATACTTTTTATTTTATTATTAAATTTATTTTGATAAATGATAATTATTTTTATTCAAATTATTACAGTTATTATCTACTAATAAAACACATTTCTTAGTTTTTATTAGTAGTTCAATTTTTTTTTAAAATTCACGGAAGAAAAATTTTAACGTTCTTCGAAAACAAATTCTTTAAATGAATATTATAAAGTTGTTCTAATACTAATGCAATATCGGAAAAGTTATATGAAAACATATTCTTATCTCTATTTTTTCAAAAAGAATAAATGAGACGACAATATGTTTTTATACAAGTTTCGAAAGATGGAATTACACCGAAAAAAAGACGATTAAATATTTTTAAGATGATATTTTTGAATGAATGTGATACATATGAGAATTAAATGTACATATATAGATTGTTATGTAGTTTGTAGGCAGTACATATAATACTGTTGTGTGATTTTTAGCTTTGTTTCAAATAAACTGCGACTAGACTTTTGGAAAATCTAAAGAAATTCTTAAAACTGATATCCGATTATAGTTGACCCTTGTTAATATACAGTATAACCACGATAAACGAGAATTGGTTAAGCGAGAGTGATTCTCCGGTCCCGGGATGACATCCATAAGCGAGAAACTCGGTTTAGAGAGAAACCTCTATACGCGAGAAAAAATCGCCGTGCCTTTTAGCTTAACTAATTTTGACTGCCTTGCTAAGGAGCTAGGAATTTTTTGTTAGTGTTTTGGACCCTTGGAGAACAATAAAAAAAATATTAATGTTTTCGTTCTAATCTGTCGATTATAATAATCCAATTTAATGCTTTTTAAGGTGACAATACTAGAATTAAAAATTACTATCAACATGGATATCGCAAGAGGGGCCCTTCTAGACAATTGAAAAATGTAAAATAGATATAAAAATAGCTTCAAATAAAATCATATTAGCAATATACAATTATACTAATAACTTTGATTCCTTGTTAAATATTATCTACTTTCTCGTTTAATTGGGGTCAACTATACAGGGTGTCCCAAAAGGTTACGTACATAGAAAGGGGGATGATAGGGGTGGTCACAAGGGTCACCAGAAAAATAAAATAAAAATTCCCCTCTGGGTATTAAAAAAAATAAATGGCATTTTTTAAAAACTTTGTTTTTTTTTTTATTTCATATTGATAAAGAATTATTGACGATAACATATTGCCTTTTTTTTAAATATAGCTATATTTGTAGGTCATCGGTTACAAAATTGCCCCAGAAGGTGTAAAATTTTTAAGTTTTTAAAAAATGCCATTTATTTTTTTTAATACCCAGAGGGGAATTTTTATTTTATTTTTCTGGTGACCCTTGTGACCACCCCTATCATCCCCTTTCCTATGTACGTAACCTTTTGGGACATCCTGTATATATAAAGACGATAGAATAATAAAAAAATGTTTCCGAAGTGATATGAATTAGTAAATTGTCAATTTTAAAATGTTACTGAACATTTATAAAGTTCATCAATTCCTTATATTCCTAATGTATCTGTGATTATTGAAATAACAGTTGCAAAATTAAAGAAAATAAACTTTTTTTTTTCTTTTTCATTAAAATCGATTAAATTTTTTTTGTAAACTTTTTGTCTATGGCTCCTACGGAATTGCCGCATAAGCATTATTCCAATTATCTTACTAATATAATAAATGCAAATGTTTAGATGAATGGATGTTTGATGGTATCTCCAGAACGGCTGTAAGGATCTTGCTGCTATCTAGAGCATAGTCTGGAACAACACATTGGCTACTAATTAAATTTTTTAATACCGCGCGGACGAAATCGCGGGTGACAGCTAGTTATTACATAATTTTAAACCTTACTATGACTTACTTTAAAACTGCTGTGTAAAATTTTTATTTTTTCACTTATAGCAGTTTACGTAGGAGCCATTCTCTTAATAGGAAATGTTAAAGAAAAAAACCTACTTATAATTTTATATACAAAGTGTATAATTTGATAATTTGATAATTTTCTGTATATATAAAATGTATAATTTTTGTATAATAGTTTGTTTTGTTTTAAGGTCATCATTATGTATTGAAGATTAGAAATAAATTTGAAAATGTATACATTTCTTTAAATTATATTAATTACTGATTTCCATTTCAATTGTTAATATTTATTTTGTTATACAAAATAAATTATAAATCCTTCGTTTGTATTATAATGTCCTGTTGTAAATGACCGTTTAATTTAAAATAAATCAGAATATTCGATTTGAAGTTTTTATTATTCCCATAATAAGATGAATACACATTTAAAAGAAGTAAATTCTTCATTTAGTTTTAGTAGTATGGCTAATAGATGGAGCTGTTAACATGATTCGTCTTTCCAAACAACTTTCATGAATTAAAAATGATATTTAAAGTATTTAATTAAATGTAAAGAGATTAAAAATAGGTTCAACATCAACTCTATTGAATGTCATATTTAATTAGAAAAAGCCTTTTCTTTTACTAATGAATATTATGTTTTCATAAAAAAAATCAAGATTTTTTAATTACGAATAATTGTACTCGACCTGACCTATTTATTCAGTTCAATGCAAACTTCAAAATTACTATAAAAATAATCATAGCCACATTCATCTGATTAAAGTAAAATGTTTTCATTACTGCCCTTACTTTTTCATTAAATTAACTAACGCCTTTTTAGCTTTTGATTTAGAATTTAGTTCAGCTTGTCACCACTAGAGGCGCCACATGTACTGCATAATGTCATTAAAATTTTCACATTTAAAATGTGATACATTTTATTACGATTAATATAAAGTGTTATGATTCTATTAGTACAATATTTTGTAAAACTTTTTTACAATACACGAAGTCTCTAACGTAAAGGCTCCGATGGTTAGAATGGGTAGTAAACACTTTCTTCGCAACTATTTTTCTGCGGCAACTTCGGCCGCGACTATAGGATTTAGAAGTAGCACACGGCCAAAGTCGGGCTAGTCGAGGTGGTGGAAATAGGGTCTAGTTGGCTGCCGGGAGGGAGTTGGGCAGAGCTGGCACACCTGTACGCGGGGCGATCTCTCTTCGGGAGTGAGAGGCACCGACGAGAGCGATCGTTACGGGCTGGCGCAGGGCGCAGGGCGAGGGCGCAAGGCGCAGGCAGGGCGCGTGCGCGGCGGCGGCGGGCGGCAGTCGTCCGCGAGCGTCGGGCGCCGCCACACCTCGCCCGGCAGCCACACCGCACCACACCCGCCGTACTATTTTAAAACGACGAGACACCGCGCATGCGAATATCGATC